GCCAATGTGGTGCGCAATGCCGAGTTTGAGCAATTCTCTGATTTTTCTTCAAGTGAAAATAGATAAATGAGCACAAGGACACCGAGTTTGTGGAATTCTTTAATGTTTTTCGAGCGAATACTGATCGTTGTGTAAAAGGGGAAACGAGGTTGTGCGTGATGTCGAGGAGTAATGTAACTTTATTTATGTGCAATGTTTAACATATCGTTTGTGTATTTTAAATTTGTATTGTTGTTTTAATTGTGAATTATATTTAAGACATAATTTTTCATTTAAATTGTATTTTTAATTTTTTGATATGTTTATAACGCTTTCCGATTTACGATATATATGGATAGTCCGACGATCGACTCAACAGTAGCAAAACTGTAAACTTTAACCCTTGAAGTAACGTTTACCTCATATATTAATACGTAGTGTTTGGTATCGTAATTGCAAATAATATGTGTGTGTGTGCGTATGTGAAGCATTGCTTAGTGTTCCAAGTTTGTAGTATTTATTTTATTATATTATTTTCTTTCATTCTGAGAAATTAGATTTTTTTATTTATTAATGCGTAGAATTCTAGCATGCCTGCACAGAATATAGCGTGATTTAGGAATTTTAGAAACTGATATGAAAGCTGTGTAATGATGTTCATATGGAATAAAAAATATTCGTTTTTTATTAACGTAAAGTTTAAAATTTTTAGAAATAATGAAAATTGTCTAATTATTGGTATGTAAGGAATTATGTCGTTACGTAGCAAGAAGGTAATTTGTAAAAATGATAAAATTGAAATGTTCCACAATATGAATTTAAATTTAAAAAAAAAATAGTTTATTTGTATAAATAAAAAAAAATTAATAAAAAATAATAACTTAATATTGAAGCTCTACAACTATTAGAGACTGCGACGTTGTTTATCGTTTTAATAATTGGTAGAATTCGCTCACTGTATCATGGTAATTTTAAATATAAACGATTTATTATACTTATTATCAGTAACGCCTAAACTTAAATGTTATAAATGTAAATTAAAAGTAAAGAATTTGATATTAATTTACAATAATAAACAATTTATTATTGTTATTTTTAAAAGAAAATAGAAAGTACATGTAGTGTAAATGCGAGACTACGTCATAAGTCTACTATGACTACGTCATAGTGTCATTGTGACGTCATAAGCTTAGTCCCACCCATTTAATGACGTTACGCAGCTCCTCATACTGAACTTTGTTGATGCAGCCTATTCTGCGCTTTTACCGAAATTTATTTTAATGTTATTATTATCTGGTAATAGGATTATACGAAATGCTGAATACTCTTGGTACTATCATAATCTTCGCATAACCTTTCACATTGTATTTTGCGTTATCATTGTAAAATATATTGTATTACAAAGATTAAATTACTTTGTTAGAAATGTGAATGTTCTAACTTTTCTTTTTATCACTTATTATTTATTTTCGCTTTGAAAACACATTCATATTTGACAAATAATTATCTCCTCTGAAAATTTTTTGATTGTTTAAAAACTATCCGCGATTCCAGCTCTCTGATGCGCCATCTAGTGGCTAAAAGGTGGAAACATTAAAGCTCGGTATTTACGTTTGACAATGCTACCTAGTTTGTGAAGCGTGTTGTGATCGAAAAGTAATTAAACGTTTTATTTTTATTGTGTGGGGCATATGTATAACTTAAAAAGAAGTACAGACCGCATGTTTTGTTGTGTACATCAGTGTAAATCACGAGCTTGCAAGGAACCTGAGTTATGCTTCTATCGCATTCTTGGTTCGAAAAATATCGAACGAGATAGCAAAACGAAGAGGGTGGATTTGCGTATTCAAATTGGAAAGAAAGTGGGACATTATATGAACGTGCGTTCTAAGCATTTTAAAAAAAAAAAAAAAAAAAAAAAAAAAAAAAAAAAAAAAAAACTGATTACATTTTTTCTCGTAAGAAAAGTTTACCGGCTCTTGGCTGAATTTGGCGAGTTTTTGGCCGCCATCTTGGATTTCAGAAATGCGCCAAAAAGCGCATTTCGAAATCCAAGATGGCGGCCAAATATTGTTTTCCCTATCCGAGGGAAGTGGACAGGGAAAACAATTCTGAACTGCCAAAAGGAAAAATTGAACTTACCCTTGTTCATGTTGACATGATGACGCCTGACATTCCCTATTTCTTCAAGTGTTGTACAACATAGTTAATGTTATATTACTAAGCATGATATGATAACTTACTAATTGTAATTCAGTCTAAAGTAATAGAACAAGAAATTTTAATTAACGTGTACTTTAACGAGTGAAATGTTTTGCATGAAACGCTATAGGGCGAAGAAGAAGTACTTACGCTCAAACTGTAAACAATCGATTTAAAAGAAAGCTTCCAACCTAAAAATTTGACTTGCATGTAATTTCGGCATTATATTATTTGGCATTTAAATTAATAATGAATTTATATTTAAATTAATTATGTTATGCAGGTAAGTGTATGATAGTTAAACGTGATATATATGGATGAGAAATGAAAAATTAGAACATTTATTAAGGTATTTGTAATATATGGTAAGTTCTTTTTAAGAAACTTATTTTTCAGTATATAGCACTCATTTTTTTTTTATTAATTAATCAATTTGAACATATATTTTCTATTTTTCCCTGTGTTAGAATTTCAACTTTTTTTTAATTAATCAATTTAAACATACATTTCTTAACTTATTTTTCAATATGCAAGAATTTCAACTCTTTTTAATTAATCAATTTAAACATATATTTCTTAACTTTTGTTTCAATATGTAAGAATTTCACCTTTTTTAATTAATAAATTTAAACAAATATTTCTTAACTTATGTTTCAATATGCTAGAATTTCATATTTTTTAATTTATCAATGTAAACATATATTGCAAAATGAAGGTACTTACCCCTAGATGACATTGCTTGTACAATCTTTGTCTTCTTAAATTATGTTATTTATATTTATATAAAAATTTCACTTTTTCACAAGAAAATTTTTATCCAGGTTCTCACAGTTTCACCTTTTCACAAGAATATTTTTATCCAGGTTCTCACAGTTTCATCTTTTCACAAGAAAATTTTTATCTAGTTTCTCACAGTTTTGCAAGAAAATATGTATCCAGGTTCTCACAGTCAACAAGTTCACAAGAAACTGTGTATATGATAACCAGGGCTAGAAAGGGGGCATATGTCCGTGGGCACATCATCCAAGGGAAGCCAAAATGATGTTACGAATTTTTAGAGTTGAATGTTTTCCATTTTTGGCCAGTAGTCGGGAGGGGCACAAAATCTTCAGTTTTCCCTGGGCGCTGAAAACAGTAACTATGACTCTGCTGATAACTTATAAAATTTCATTTTTTCACAAGAAAAACTGTTATAGATTCATTCCTTGTTAAAATCCAATACTTCGTTTCACTGAACTCCACTCTTATAGATCGAGGCCTGTTCATCAGATCTGAAAAAGAACAATTTTTACAAGCATTTTGCATTTTGAAATTAGAAATGATTCCATTTCCACATCACCTTAAGACTTACACGTACTTAAAAAAAGAAAAATCTTTTCTTCTGCTTTTTGACTATTCATTTTAATTGAAGCATTACCAAATTTTGTAAATTAGAGTTTTTATAATTATATTTAAATCAATTATTTATAAAAAATATTTATGCGGGTATTATCATATAATTTCATTTAAAAAATAGGCACTATTTTCACATTACATGACGTTACATGCAGGTTAAAGTGATTTTTAATTAAATCTAAATTTGATAAAAAAAATAGAAACAGTAAGAAATGTGATTAATGATATTAGTGAAACAAAATAGTTACAAATAATCCCAATTTTTAAGCTAGTACGTGTAAGACTAGGAGGTAGGAATCCTGATGCGTTTTTTTTTACGAGGTTTCGCCAGGAGCCATAATCCTCTAATTTTAATGTGTACACATATATTTTATATTACTTACCATTCAGCACCACATTTTGCAGTTTTCAGCAGTATTACTTGGCAGTTCACTATTTGGAGTTTTTTGTAGAGAAAATATCCATGTTATATATGTTCAGAATACAAGATAAATAAACAAGATTTTAAATTTCATGATCGTCGAGATTTCCTGTGGTGGCAGCAGTTGCTCAGTTCCTTCGCTTTCAGGTGTGGCCCGCATCAGTCGTTTCAACTCGGATGTGTTTCTTGAAAGAAAAACCTGGCTATACCCCCAGGTACTGGGTTTGTCATCCGAGTTGATTTCTCCATCTGCTTCTTCCCTCGTCTAAGTGGCAGCAAAATGTTATTTTTGAAGTCCCTAAACAAAATATCCATATTATGCATATTCAAAATACAAGATAAGTAAACAAGATTTTAAATTTCATGATCGTCGAGATTTCCTGCGGTGGCCAGCAGTTGCTCAGTTCCTTCGCTTTCAGGTGTGGCCCGCATCAGTCGTTTCAACTCGGATGTGTTTCTTGAAAGAAAAACCTGGCTATACCCCCAGGCACTGGGTTTGTCATCCGAGTTGATTTCTCCATCTGCTTCTTCCCTCGTCTAAGTGGCAGCAAAATGTTATTTTTGAAGTCCCTAAACAAAATATCCATATTATGCATATTCATAATACAAGATAACTAAACAAGGTTACGATAATGAAAACATAAGTTAGCGTATATATAAACACTTTTATTAAATGTTTTAATATTTTTTCTAAAAGTGTTCTTTCTGTTGTTTAGTTTTAATCTTTTGTTAACTACATACTCTTTTTAACTAGAAAATAATAATTGAACATAGTACAAAAAAATACACAATTACCACAAAAGGGTGGCAAGTTTAAGAAGTTAATAATGTAAGATTGAATCCTTATATTTAAAATAATAAATAAACGGTAAAATTAAAATAATAAACGTAGTATGAAAATACATAATTAAAATAAACAGGCTGGAAACATTAAAAGTAATGAATTCACCTGTATATTTTCTGACTGAAGATTCATTTCTTTCCATGATTCATTTCTCATTTCTGCAATATTCTTTACCTGAAAGGGGTGATAAATTATCCTTAACAATAAAATGTTTTCTGGTAAGAAGTAGGCTGGAAACCTTTAAATTAATCAACTCACCTCTATGTTTGTCAATTTATCTGTCAAAATTAGTTTTCTTCTTTCTTTTATTTATTTTTTTGGATTACCTAATTTGCAATAAAGTTTTTTTTACTGAAAAATAAGTAGGTAAACTTATACTAATAATAACTAAATAAATTTTACAGTTGCTTTTACTGAAGAGGAGTAGTATTAAAATAAAGTGAAGCACTAATTTGAAACATAAGCTGTGAATGGTTAAAATTTTGTCTTACCTCTGTCATAGTATTTCATGACATTTTGGATCTGCAGCTCTGCAGCTGTGAAAGAAAGTTTATTTTAATGAAGGAATAACAAAATATATAAAGAATAGCTCTCACGTCAAAATAAAAGTTGAGAATAACTGAAATACACATTTACCTCTTTCTGTAAAAGATATGCAACATTTTCGCAACATTTCCATCCTTTTGTTTTCTGGGCTCTGTTTTTTGGTTGAATTCTAAAAGGAAATAAAAAATAACAATTTCATGTAGTGAAAAACAAAAAGGTATTAAATCAAAATTTGTGGACCATCTGAACATTTACACAAATTATAGTAAACAATTTACTTGTATGCTTTTCTTATCATTTATTCCAGTTTTAAAACTTGGTCTGTGTTCCCTTACTCTGAAAAATAAGCACATAGATTATAATGGTATGTAATTTAATATTTAAATGCAATTTTTGTATGTATATATATGTAAATAAATAAATTATGTCAAAAATAAAGTTATATTTGTTGGTTTTACCCCATTTATCATCATCTTCCTGAATGAATGGTATATCATCATCTTGTCGGGCTGATTTCTTTGGAGGCATCAGGTCCTCAATTCCTTCGCTTTCTGATGTTGGTTCGTCCAACATTTTAAGTTCAAGGCCGACTTTTCCATGGCCTGGATACACAGCTTTAATGTCCTGTAGAAACTGAGCAAGTCTTTCTCCATCATAAGTAAAGGGCTTCAAGCGGAACCGCCTGTAATAATGTACAGCCATGTACTGCGTGCAAATATCATCTGTTCTCTTGCTCTTTATAGACCTCTTAAAAAGTTTGTTTTCACCCTCAAGATCATTTATAGTGTTCTGTTTATCATCGGGATCTACGAATACGCCTGTAAATAAAGGATTAATGAATGTTAAGGATGAAAAAAAAATGTCACTCATTAAAAAAAAAAGACACATATTTACCTTTCTTGTGATTGGTAGTTTTATGTGTTGCTGCCGGAAATAAATTTTCTATCCTTTTATATTGTGGAGCAGAGTCAGTGTATATGAAGGTGGTTTCTGGGTGAACATGACGTTTAATGTAAGGCCACAAATGCCTTTTGCTTTTTCCTTTAACCTTGAAAAATAATCCTTCTTTGTCTTCTCGACAGTAGATGCCCTAAAACTACGATGGTCATATTTTTGGTTACCCTGCCGCGGTTGTACTTGCGGCGGGTCAAAAATGTTTCATCAATTAATATAGATTTTCCTTTACCACCTAACATTCTGCTATGATGAGAGGCAAAAATTTCACATACCTCACGACAATATGATAAAAAGTCAACAATAGTCTCATTTGCAATTACTGGTAATTTTTGCTTTTCCCTCCATAGCTTTAGCTGCTGATTTATGTAGCTGAAACTGTGATCTAGAACAAAGTACACAGTTATGACTAAAGCTTCCCTTATTGGGATTTTTGTACCTTTAAAAAAAAGTGTTTTCAATGGGGTTAATCATGCCAGAGCAGTTGTTGCGATTTCTCAGGCTGCAGACCCAACGCCATCCCAGCTTTGATTCCTTTCTCTTGTTGCTTCTCATCGGTGCCTGGCACTTGGGGCAAGGTGGTGCCTCATCCTCTCTGGGAAGAAGTCCAGCATCGGTGGCAAACTCGAGTGCAGCTGCCTCTGTATTAATTAAATGCATGTCAGTAATTAAACAGAAATATTTCAGTTTTTCATGCAAAGAAGCCATATTCAAAAAAGTCAGTACAGTGACAGAAATAGTTTAATGAAATTTATTGTTAGAAATTTCAGAAACTTGGCAATTATGCAAAAGTCAAAACTATCAGAAATAAAAAATAAAAAAGTTTAATAAAGATGAAAAGTAATTATAAGTTTAATTAAACAATATTAGTTCATTATAGGAAGATAGAGAAGTGAAAAGTTCAAACTAGAAAGTACTGTTACAAAAAAAAAAAAAAAAAAAAAAGGAAAATAAAAATAATAGTAATGATATGTATCTATGAAAACAAAGTATTAAAACAAATTTCAAGTGAAAAATAATATTAAAAAATGTAATGGATGAAAATAGATTAAAAGTAAACTTAGCTTTGGCAAAGTCCAAACCACGTTTTCACGTAAGTACCGAGGTACTGATTTTTTTCAGTACCTGACAGACAGACAGACAGCTGCACGGGCTTAACCGCGGCAAAATATGATCGCGAAAAATCTTCTTTTTTAAATTTATTTAAAATATTTTCGAAAAAAAAAAAAAAATATTTTACTTTACAAATAAATGTTTTTCGGTACATATGTTTTTTTAAAACATTTTTAAACAGAGATGCAGAAGAATAATAGGTATTGTTATTTTTGTGTGCAGATATGCGTGCGTGATGAACTAAAAAATGATTTTGAAGGTTTCGTGGCATATTTATCCTCTCAAAAATATGCAACTTGCTCAACTTTTCGATTTTATTAAATTAAATAAGGCCTATCGTTTTTTTTTTTTTTTTTTTTTTTTTTTTTTAAGCACTGACAATGAAAGCTGTTATGTTCTATTTTTGCGTTTTTATCCCAAAGCGCGTTAGCCCAGAAGGGCTATTAATTTCGTTTTCGCATTTTGCGTTGAACTGTTTCTACCGAATATTATCGCTGTGTGTTATATTTAAAGATATTTAATAATAAAGAATCAGCATAAATATACGTATGTTTAACGTACATAACATTTATGCAGATACTGTGATAAAACAACGGTACCTACAGCTATGAAATTTTGAATATGTACGTCACCACCCGAATATGGGCATCTGAAAGCTCAAATTTGTAATTTGTTTTATTAACTATTTAACATTTTGTAAAGCATTTATGTGTTTTTGATTAAGAAACTCGACGATTTCTAAGCGAGCAATGGCAACACTGTTCGGCGCAAGACTGTCTATCGGAAATTCTAAAGATATGCTCTTCTTTTAAATGTTTTGTCATATTGCTGCTTAAGAGAGAAGACAGTTCGGATGTACAAAATTTAAAGACCGCATGTCTGTTGATTTTGAAAATTCATTTCCATTGAATTTAACAATTGTTTTCAGTTGGCGAGAGGTATACATCTCTGTTGTACACTATTATTGGTAACCTTTAATTGTTGGTTATTTGTTACATTTTTTTGTCTTTCATATTGCCCTGGCTGCATTGGAAATTTCGTGGTTTTCCTCGTGTGTATACGAGCCAGTACAATTACACTAATGAATCATATCACTTAAATAATGTGAATAATTATAGAATTATTATATAAGTGTAGAATAATTGGGTTGGTTGTTATGTTCACGAGTTGTGTGTAAATGCGTGGCTTTGTGTGATTTATGTAATTAATTAATGAAGATTTCAGCAGCGGCCTGGCGGTAAAGTGTGTGAGCACTGGTAGTTCTGTCCGAAGTTCGAATCCCGCTAATGCGCCGGTTGCTTGTTATGTTCACGAGTTGTGTGTAAATGCGTGGCTTTGTGTGATTATGTAATTAATTAATGAAGATTTCAGCAGCGGCCTGGCGGTAAAGTGTGTGAGCACTGGTAGTTCTGTCCGAAGTTCGAATCCCGCTAATGCGCTGGTTGCTTGTTATGTTCACGAGTTGTGTGTAAATGCGTGGCTTTGTGTGATTATGTCATTAATTAATGAAGGGTTCAGCAGCGGCCTGGCGGTAAAGTGTGTGAGCACTGGTAGTTCATCTCATTACACATATACTAGCTACGCATATATACATTATAGACAGTGGTGTAACTAGAATTCTTGGTCCCGTATGCAAAATAATTTCCTGGGTCCCTAAACCAATAAATTTAATGTGCTTAAAAATAAAAATTAAACTAAAGAAAAAAAACGTGAAAAGTAAAAAAAAAAAAAAAAAAAAAATCAAGGATTCCTGGAGCCAATGTTTTCATGATTTTTATCACATCTGGATTAATTGTTAAAAAATAAAAGCACGTTCTCAGGGAACCATTTGAAAGTTATGTAATATGAAGAAAGAATAAAAAGGAAAATATTTCCCCTTTGCTAACTGGTGAAATGCAAATTTGCTTTAGTCTGGGTATTTGACGTCAGATGATTTTAATTCTGTAATTTAAGACTTTTTGTGTGCGTGCGTGTGAGTGATAGATAATTGATATTGACAGACAAGATAATTGATAAACGTACAGAAAAAATATTACATCAATAGATAGTACTCTGTGATTTTACTCAACTTACGAACATAATTTATGCAATAATATACAAGTACATTTGTTAAATATAAAACATATTTATCATAAACTTCATAAAGAAAACTATTTGAATATACAATTTTAGTAGAAAATATGTAATATTTTTGCTGTCCTTTTAAAAATCCTTTTGGTACACTAAACTACTTGAATACATCATTTTTATAAAAAAAACATGAATGCTAAAGATTTTTCCTGTTTCTTTTTAATTTTCCCTCAGCCCGTACTGCTGTTCTTCTTCTCTAATTCCCCCCCCCTCAATAAGTGTAATTATAACACTGGTGACCGAAATTCATCATAAAGACAAAAATCTTTTTTATTAAAATTTGCGTCTCCTAACCTTCATTTCCGCAAAATTATTTATCAATACCTGGACGTCCATTTTCACAGCCATGTCAACTTCAACGCTCAATAGTGATAGGTTTAACAACCGATCTTGTATCATAGTGTTTCTTAAATATGTTTTTATTATTGAAAATGACCTCTCGCTCGTGGCTTTGGTTACAGATAATGAATGATAAATACAATATAAGTTAATTGCACTCCCGATTAACTGCTTGTCATGTCATAGTATTTTACCATTGCTAATTTAGCTAAATCCTTAACGGATTTCAAATTTTGGATATCTGTTCTGAAAGTATTTTATAAATAATAAAAGTTGTACTTCCAGTACATTAGCAAAGTCTTCTTTATATTTTTTTCTGTATTTTTGAAACATTATTAATAATTTCCGTATTTGTTAACAATGACAAATATTCGTGATTTTCCGCATGTGTAACGTTTATGAAGTATGTTGTGGATGCATATGTGAATAAAGCGGGCGCAGCCCGCTTAGACCGCTGAACACTGGTAATTCTGTCCAACGTTCAAATCCCGGCTAACGGGCTGGCTGAATGCGTGTTTTCTTGATTTTCCGCATGTGTATGATGTTTGCAGTATCACCGTTGAACGCTGGTTATTCGGTCCAACTTACGAATACCGGCTAGCGGGTTGGCTGCATGGGTGTTTTCGTGATTTTACGCATGTGTATTGTGTGCGGAGTATCTTCTGGATGAATACGTGAATAAAGCAGGCGTAACCCGGTCAAAACCGTTAAACGCTGGTAGTTCGGTCCAACTTTTGAATCCCGGCCAACAGGCTGACTCTATATGTGTTTCAGTGATTTTCCGCATGTGTATTGGGAATGCAGTATCTTCTGGATGCACAAGTGAATAAAGCGGGCGCAGACCGCGCAAATCCGCTGAACACAGGTAGTTCGGTCCAAAGTTCGAATCCCGGCGAGCGGGCTGCCTGCTTAGGTGTTTTCGTGATTTTACGCATGTGTGACGTGTATGCAGTATCTTCTGGATGCGCACGGGAATAAAGCAGGGGGAACCCGCGCAAAACCGCTGAACCCTGGTAGTTCGGTCCAACTATGGCATAACGGTGATATTTAACATAGGAACTCTTATACACGTCAACAATTAAAAGCGGGCTTCAGCCCGCTAGTTATTAATAATTTCCGTATTTGTTAACAATGACAAATACGGAAATTTAAGTTCCAAAAATGAAAACATCATTGCGATTTTTGTTATTCCAGTCATTCTGTATTTTAACTGAGTATTTAAAATGTCGAGAGCAGCATAAAAAACTGTTACTTTAAAAGACATTTCGGAATTTTCAAGCCTGTTATCCTCACATAACTCATCAATATTTTCTTGTTTTTATTTTCTTCTATTTTTCAAATTTAGTTTCTATGTCCCATTTATTTTATATACAAAAATTTGTATATAAAATTTGTATATAAATTTGTATATTTGTATTTTTGTGAATATACAAGAATTGTATATTCAAAACTCTGCTTCTTTCATAATGTCTTCAAACTTCTTTCTCATATCTTGCATATTAATAGAAACGCTTTTTACATGTTGGTGAGCTCCATTCAAGTCGATTGATTTTCGATTGTCGAGTCGATTGATTGATTGATAGATCCTGCAGATACAGCGCAGGACGTGTTTAAAAAATTTTGTTTTTAATTTTTGGCATTTTGCCAGAAATGTTTAATAATTTGTAGTTAAGCTCATCGACACAACGTATATTTCAAGATGAGAACTCACACTCTGTCACATGGATTTTAAAAGTAGTACACATAAATACTTGTTTTATACTTTCCTAAACAAGTATAACGTTTAGTTAAAATAAAGTTGTATGAAACAAGTTTTGCGTACTTTGCAGAGAAATGCGCAAAACTTCATTTAATGAAAATAGGTTTGTGGTGGATCAAAAAGCAAAAATCAGTTAGGAAATGCGGATATATTTTAGGAGCATTAATATTTATGATTATTGTTATCTGCTTTATTTGCATCTTGAAAAACTATTAATGTCTCGGAAATTAATGACCTCAGATTTCCAGTTTTTACGCTGCTTATAAATTAAGCAGTATCAATTTTTTTTATCTATCTATC